CTAATTGTAGATCCTGGTAATAGAAGGAAAACTTGGATCTAGTGCCCACTATCATGACTTTGGACTTCTCAATATTTACCTCCATCTGATTCTGGGTACCAAAGCTAGCCAAAGTGTATAGGTGTTTCTGTAAACTAATTGCATCACGTGCTAGTAATATGATATCATCTGCATACAAGAGAGGTTTGATAACAAATTTTCAGCCCCAACGGAGCTGCTGTCAAGAAGTTGTCATTTCAAAACTTTGAGTTTAGGGATTTGAGCATGAATCTTGCGGGGGCCATATCTTCTTGCTGGAGTGTCAACAGGAGCTGAGATTTGGTAGGCTTGTTCACAACAGCCGGGCGCACATACCTGCAAATTTTCAGCCCCAACGGAGCTGCTGTCAAGAAGTTGTCATTTCGAAACTTTGAGTTTAGGGATTTGAGCATGAATCTTGCGGGGGCCATATCTTCTTGCTGGAGTGTCAACAGGAGCTGAGATTTGGTGGGCTTGTTCACAACGGCCGGGCGCACATACCTGCAAATTTTCAGCCCCAACGGAGCTGCTGTCAAGAAGTTGTCATTTCGAAACTTTGAGTTTAGGGTTTTGAGCATGAATCTTGCGGGGGCCATATCTTCTTGTTGGAGTATCAACAGGAGCTGAGATTTGGTGGGCTTGTTCACAACGGCCGGGCGCACATACTTGCAAATTTTCAGCCTCAACGGAGCTGCTGTCAAGAAGTTGTCATTTCGAAACTTTGAGTTTAGGGTTTTGAGCATGAATCTTGCGGGGGCCATATCTTCTTGTTGGAGTATCAACAGGAGCTGAGATTTGGTGGGCTTGTTCACAACGGCCGGGCGCACATACCTGCAAATTTTCAGCCCCAACGGAGCTGCTGTCAAGAAGTTTTTATTTCGAAACTTTGAGCTTGTGTTACATCTTGCAAAGTTGGGTTCATGATGGATTCTGAAAGCAAACTTCTCAATCTTGTGCAAACGGTTTTGGAGGAATTGAAAGTGCTACGCCAAGAATTCAAGGCACAAAATGTTGCCTTGGCTGCTGCAAAGAATGAAATCAGGGAGTTGAAGATTTCTCACAAAAGTTTTGAGAAGATCATGCTCCAAATCTCTGGATCTGTTGAGGACATTCAAGACAAGGTTGGTTCTCAAGCTTCTACTGTTACTACTCCTGCTTTGCATGAAGTGGTTGAAACTCTTGAGGTGAAAATGAAGTCCTATGCTGAAGCTACCAAGTCTGCTCATATCTCTTTCTGTCAAGAGCAAGAGATTGAAAAGGCTAATCAATTTGCTCGTATGAAGAATGTAAGGATTTCGGGTCTACCTGAATCTGAGAAGGAAGAGATGAAGATTGTGGTCACCAAGTTTTTGACTGAAACACTTGATGTTCCTAATCCGGATTTGGCTCATGCTTATCGTATTGGCAACAAAGGCACACAACCTCGTGCCATTATTGTTAAGTTTGTAGATCAAGCTCAACGTGATATGGCTTTAGCTAACAAGGCCATTCTCAAGGGACGGAGGATTTGGTTAGATCCAGATCTTACACCTCTTCAAGTTGAAGCAAGGAGGAAGGAGCTTGCAAAAGTCAAAGAAGCTCAAGATGCAGGTTTTGTAGCTTATCTACGTGATAGTCAAACTATTATCACCAAGAGGAGGAGACAATCATCAACCTAGCAATCCAAGAGATTGAGGGTGTTGATGTGGAACATAAGAGGCCTATCTACAACTAAGTATGTGAGTGCACATCCGATTTGGAAGATGGCAGACATCCTCAACATTGTTGAGACTTGGGAGCATGAAAGTAATGTTATTGGAGAGATACAAGGTTTTACTCTGGTGGGATCTACTTGGAACCATAGAAATCGACGAGCAGGAAGAGGCTTTGGAGGCATTGCTACTTTCATCAGATCTGAACTTCTTCCTATGATACATTTGGAAAGCCAAGATATTGGGAAACAATATCATTGGCTTCGTCTTGGATCGATTGGAGGATCTTACAGTTATTTGGCAGTTTGTTACTTTGCACCATTATCCATGCAGATCTACTCCACAAGCACTTGCAATCGAAGTCAACCATTCCATCGGCTCATGGGAGATGTTCTCAAATATCAAGACACAGGTGAAGTTTTTCTTGTTGGAGACTTCAATGCCCGCATACGTTCCGCTCAATTTACACAATTTGATAGTTCCTTGTCTTCTCACTCTTTTGAAAAAAGTAGAGATAGTTTGTGGTCTAGTTTGTGGTCTAGAGTCTCTTGTGATCCTTGTACAAATGATTTGACTGAGCATTTCTTGACTTTTGGAGCCACTTGTAATCTGAAAGTTCTCAATGGTGTTTCTTTCTTTCCCTCTTTCTCACTTCAATACATGTTTTTCCTCTACTGGTGTTAGCACTATAGATTATCTTTTGTCCTCTGCCACTAATAGTTCATTTATCTCAGCGTTTGATATTCTAGAGCCTCAACCAGAATCAGATCATACACCTCTTTTATTTACTCTTTTGTTGTCAACGTCAATTCCTCTCCCTACATGTCACTATGTTTCTACTTCCCCCAAGTTTTGTTTAGATGCTAGTAAGAAGCAACTTTATAGTGAACATTTCCAAGACCTCTTGACTTGTACTACTTGGAGCCTTGATCCACATACATCTAGTTTGCAACTAACTGAGTTGCTCCAAAACTCTGCTTCTAAGTTCTTTTTGAGACATAAGACCAGGAGAGCTAGAGGTCTTCCTTGCAATGGATGGTTTGACTTTGATTGCAAGCAAGCGAGGGCGAGATCACTTGATAAATCCTTGGATCTTCACAATCGGTTGATTATGACAAGACTTTACAAAGACTTGGTGAAGTCCAAGAAACGAGCATTTTTGAGGCAGAAGCAAGAGTGCTTGACAAAGGAGCTCTTGGAGAATCCCAAATCCTTTTGGAGGCGGTTGGCAGTATGATCTTCTAAACCTACTCTTGATCCCAAGTCTTTGATTTCTTTTGCTGAAAAGCTTTATTTCTTTCCCAATGTTGCATCTATGCCACATTGTGAAGGAAATCCAGGCTTATTTTCAGAAGTTGAAGTGATGACTCAACTCAGACAATTGGCAAATGGTAGATGTGAGGATTTGGATGGGCTTTCCATTGAACTTCTCAAGTGGGGAGGAGATGCTATTGGGCCTATACTCACAAAAGTGTTAGAGGATGCTGCTATTCATGGCTTTCCTTCATCTTGGTCTCTACGGAAGATTGTTCCTATTCACAAATCTGGAAGCAAGGCCTTGGTGACAAACTATCGCACTATCATGGTGGGTAGTATTTTTGCCAAGTTATTTGGCAAATTGGTGGAGTCAAAGTTGAGCACATGGGCTGAATCTTGTCAGAAGAGAGCGCGGTTCCAAGCTGGTTTTCGTCCTACATTCAACACTATAGACCATATCTTGGTTTTACGTGTTCTATGGGAGAAATCCAAGGGCAATGGAAAAGCTTTGTTTTGTGCCTTCATTGATTTCAAGAAAGCTTTTGACACAGTACCTCATGAGATTGTGAGCAAGGATACTTACTTGAAGAGATATCTACTTCTTATGTCATATTATTGCTAGACATAGAACTGGATCTCATAGTCTTGGGATTGAAGAAGGGCGTTGGTTGAACATTGATAGGAGTGAACGTATTTGTAGGCTATGTGATGGAAGAAAAGTTGAGGATGAAGAGCATGTATTTCTTACTTGTTCTAGGTATGTAGAGATTCGAGTGGCGCATAAAGTTGATGTCGAGAATTTCTTTTCTCTGCTTCAACTCGAGCCTTATGATTTAGGTTGTTACATTAGAGATATTATTAGTTACCGTTCTAGTGCTTTGGGCACTAGCTAGGGGGTTCTTTTGGTTCTCTCCTAGTTTGGAGTTGTATTGTTTGTATTGTGTTTTTTAGCCTTTTGACCCTTTGGGTCCCACGGGCTTGATCTATTTACCATTTATCATTTACCATAAGTTCTTGATGTATGCTTGAGTTGGCGTTTTGATGTTTCTACACTTGTGCATATGTGATTGCATTTTCTAGAAAAAAAAATATCTATAAGCACCAATATTCAAGACAAATTAATCAGATCTTCATGTTACTACTACATATAATAATTAGTTAAAAAGTAACACAACAAGTATTTTCATGTTTTATTAATGCATTAATTACTAATATTTATTTTAAGGATTTGAACAATATTTTATAATACATCACAATTGATATAAGGTAAAATTTTTCATCACATTAATAATGTATTACATTTATGTGTTTATTTTTTTGGTCTTTATTTATGTATGAAAAATTAACAATACAATATAAAAATTCTAGATTTATATTTGAAAATATGGGAAAAAAATTGAATAAAAGAATCAGAACAAGAACAAAATGTAACGTATCTATCTAGGTAGGGATTGAACTTTGGGATCTTGTTTGTGGTTGTAGCTTGTATTGTGATATATTAGCAATTGGAAGTTGGAATTATGATTGAGTTCACAGCGTAGAACTCCTACAGAAGTGTATGAAGATCTCAATACAACACATTTTAGTCCTAGAAGTGAATAAATAATTAGGACGGTAAGAATTCGAATTTAATAAGAAGTAAAGTAAGTAAGTAATTTTCTAAGTCCGTTTTGGAATGTGGTCCTATCCTCGAATGAATTCGGGAAATCTCGATCAGAGTCCACATTTAAATTACGTGTGGAACCCAGATACCAATCTGTGCTATTGTTCCCGCCACATTGTAAGCTCAAATTACGATTTGAGCCTGCTCCCGCCCTTCACACGATTGAATGTTCTCACTGTGTTCACTCTCTACAAGTTTCCGTAAACTCCCTAATTGTTTGTCTTATCCTCAACATGACAGTCAAAACTTGTTCCATAATAAAACTGGGATTTAACGGTTTTCTGGAATACATCTGAATTGGCAAACAACAGCATGGCGGACAGTAAATTTTTTTTACGATTCGAAGGATATTGTTCACGCTTTAGTTTCCCCGCCAACGTAGAAGCTGGAATCATTGTATTAAGGCTCCTTCATTCGTCTTCCATCCATCGAGGGTTGTCGAGATGTCAAGTAAGGGACGATATGAACGTGGTCGGTCTCTAACCTGTCAGGTTTTAAGGTTTGTTCTTTACAGAGAATCACGTAAAGAATGCTAACTCAAACTTTCTGCATTCTTCGGCGCCAGCGTTGTCCTTTTGACATTTGTTGTGGTGTGCAAACTGCACCGAAAAAACGAAATCCTGGGAACTACCTTCTGGATTGGTGGGTTTTGCTCAGTTTTGTTCATTCGATTCTCTTTGCTCCACTTGTCATGCTTGACGATGCGGAAGTCACGAGGTGAACTTGTCGCAAGGTTTCAGGCTACACTGGGGATGTTGGATCACAGACTACTATGGTAATTTTGTGCTATGTCCGATGAACAGCATAATTGCTGAGCCTTTTCAAGATGAAGCAAACAACTGAAATCTTGAGAAGAGGCAGCTTTGAACGGGTCGTGTTTCTGGTGGATGTCAAATTTTTGATTGAGCAGGGCGATCGTAGGATATGTGCTGCCCAGATATTTAGTTCTGTTGTTGCGGTTCTCGAAAAGTGTAAAGAGAACAGCAGATTTTCAGCGCTATGGGGATATATCCTTTTCGATTCATCTCGTCCACCTATGATGTCAAGCACGACTATTGGTAAGCTGCTTGCAGGGCAGTCTACGCGTGAACGATTCGATGGTATCACGCAGAATTTGGAGAAGTTTGGGAAGGTTCTGGATGCGGTGGTAGCTTCTGGTGATGGATATACATCGGCTGGGGAAAGTAAAGCTGACTGTCTTCTTCGAACTCTGGCAGCAGTTGCCTCAGACTTTCCATGGGAGCCACTAGTTGCTAGTGACAGTTCTTCGGATGAGGAGATGAGAAATTTGCTGCAGCACCACCAAAGTTGCGCTGGAGAGCAGCTCGTTTCTAAACATGGATCCAATTTGGTGATCATATTTTCTTGCCTGCCGACTTGCAGCAGTCAAGTAGCTAGGTTTCTTGACATCCATCCAAATTTTGCAAATTCTGTTGGTGAGGAAGAGTTACTCCGCGAACTCGGCTTGCGATTTAGTCGTGTTAATTCTATTCTGGTATCCAGGAACATTCAATCCTGTTGGATAGATGTAACTGCAAGTCAGAGTTCCCGTAACTTCGGGCTTTCCGAAGCTTATCTGAAGTTGCATGAGGAGAAAAGCGTAGCTGGGAGATGCCTGCTTGAAATGGCGTGGAGTTTTGTTCCTTTAGGTCTAATCGCAAATATCATGAATCCTGTACCTTTCCGTTTAATATGGAACATGATAGTTTGTCTGCGGCCAAACATCGTCCACCGCGGGGCTGTCGCGAGTCGGGAGGCACAGGTCAAAGGTTGGGAAGCACTGTTTCAACGGAACTCGAGCAGCCCTGCCAACTTTATTCCGGTGGAGTTGCACCCTTGCACGAGCTCGATTTCTCATGCTGAGCACGTATGTAGGCTATCTCAGCTGTTCCCGGTGAAAGATACATTGAAGAAGTCAGAGAGTCTGTCAGGTTTCACGGAAGTGGATGTTGTTATTCTTTCCAAGGTGTCAAGATCAAACCACTTGAAGCATTTCTCCGAACGATATCTTGTGCTGCCGAAACCATGCGAGGCTCTTACATTACAGTCAGGTCTTACTAGGCTAGGTGACTTCAAAGCAGATAAATACAGAGCTGGGGACCCTTCATGGCCTGGCCTTCTGATTGCGCTGGAAAGCGAGGATTGTGTTCTTCACGTAATTGTTGATACTGGAGGCCACAGATGCGAAGCTATTTTAGAACCTTTTGCAGTCGACGTCGCTCTTCTAGCCATACTAGAGACTGCATGTTCACCTTTGCTTAGAAAACATCTCCCCACGCGTTTAAGCTGTCATTTGTCAAGGGTCTCCAAAATCTGCATGAGGGATAAGTTAGAAGAGTATGCGAAGACTAGACTGTCGTGCACTGTTGACAACAATGAAGTTGCTACAGATGGTGTTCGAAGTTGTGGTGGAAGCGATTTTGAGAAATCTTTTGACAGCTCGCTTTTGAAAGTTGTGAAAGACAAACGTAGAGGCAGCGTGCTCTTCAAATGTGTTAAGAAGCAAAGAGTTGACTGGGGCAAAACATTAGATGCCACTCACGATTGCTTTGAAGGCAGTACTTCGGAGCCAGAGAGCGTCAGCTGGCTAGAGTACTGGCGGAGGGTGATGAAACGATTTCGAAAGGAACACATGTTTCTTGACCAGGGCTTTTCCACAATTAGTCCCATTTCCGACGTAAAACCTTTTAGCGTCGAGAGATTTTTGCAGGATAGAAGTAAAGACATTCAGGTAATCGGAGCGTCTACAGGAGGTGCTGAATCTCAATTCGTTCCAGAATCTTTGGAGGGTGGAGCACAGTTTGCTCTAGGTTCTCCTCCTTCGAGTTCACCGGAGGTCAGAAGCCATTTGCACCAGAGTCTTGCCATCAACGTGGACACCGCAGGTCAAAAGGTCTCAGGTAATGCTCATTCACTCCAGTATAGGTCCCCAGTCAGCGGAGACGATCGACCGTCAAAATCAGAACTACCACCATCGTCGTTTAAACATAGAGGCCACCCTACACGGATCTCGAGTGATTTTCATTGGAAAGCTGAGATGAACGACTGTATGACATTTGGGATATCCAGTGGAGAATCCTGTACGGAGGAGTTAGAACGGAACGTCTATTCCTCCAATTCTGTAGATCTTCATCACTATGCGACTTCAGTTGTCACTGAAGCTTACAAGGGGCTACAGAAGGTTTATGCAAGTGAGGTATACTTACAGAGCAACCTGTCGGGTGTGGGAGATCGGAAGGAATGTACAGAAACCTCGGTTGTAGTTCACCTGAAAAAGCTTTTTTTCAAAAAGCCTAGGCAGCTCTTTTCGAAATACAAGGAGCTTCTGGCATCATCCGCCATATCCAACAGGAGCAAGGCTTCCATTGTTGAAGAGAAACTCAGAGAGTATCCTCCCGGCACTACTTTACTTTGTCTATTTTAATGCTTGAGTTATCTTTGTACGTTGTACGTTATCTTGCTTGCGTTTGAGTTTGGTTTATATCGTTCACACTAGCAGGTTACATGTTGTTGTCAACGAGCAATATCAGCTTTTTTTTCATCACCCTAAATTTTTGACATAGATTTGCAGCTTGTCAGCCAGGACATGGTCGTGTCCAGTCTTTGCGCAATTTGTCATTAGCCTTAACATTTCCATCAGACACGAACTTCAGATTATTTTTCGTCTAGAAGTTCTCGCGCTTGAGGGCGAGGTGTGTACCTCACCATCAAGCGCAAAACAGGAGTGTTTTATAAACGAAATTTGCCAACTTCTGGATAATATCCAGTTTCATTTTCCCGCGGGGAACCAGAATGAGGAAAACCTGCAACGATATTGCGAAAGAGTCATCGTTTCAAGGTAGTACACATCCAAGAATCATCTAGCATGACGGGAGATTTACTGCATTTGATGCTTGCTTGTATGTGACTCTGTTCTCCTGATCTGCTGCCGTTTTCTGCTTCTTTATGAGTTCGTACGTTGTAGGCTTGCGAGAGGAAGGTAATGTAGAGAATGAGGCTTCAAAAGTACATTGTGAATATGTGTCTTCCTGAACTACAAAATACACGCACAATGACTCTTACTGTGCGATGGATGTCTTTGATGGCGAAGGTACAAGAGTTTGTTGCCATCGACAGTGAGCAAGATCTTCTCAGCAATGGAACTCAATGGATACTGTGACACTACGCAGAGTTCTTCTGATTTCTTTGAGTCTCTTCAAAGTTCAGACAATCAACCGTCATCAGATGATTCTGTTGTCCCTGAGTCTGGACACCAAGCAATTGATCTTTCATCTGATGCTCAGCTGGACAGCTTTGAACAACTGAAGGCTTCGCGAGTTGAAAAGAGGCTCTTTTTCAGTAGAGCAGATTTGACTTCCAGGCCGATCAGTAAAGAAAATATGCCACTCTCAACAACATCATCTGGTGAAGGAAATTTGGCCTCAACTAACTACACAACACCGGATGTACCTAATAAGCTGGAGCAGAGACACAGGAAAAGTTATCACTTTTCTAGTGGAGCAAACAACCTGCGTCGAGTAAAGGCTGTAAAACCTCGTGAACATCTTGCGACGTTCACTACGAAGGCCTGCAAGACCATTTGTGTTTCTCGTAATTTTGCTTCAGGATCATCAGACCAAGTTATGAAGGTTGAAGATGTTTCTAGGAAGGTTGCCTGCAGGAAGCCGGAAGCATGCATGCCTCGTCCAATGGAGATTCGGGTTGTTTGTCAGACACCAACGCCCCCAACTAGAACATCTACCTATGGACATAAGGGATAGGCAGGGAGATTTGCAGATTGTCTCATGTGCCCGCAGCAAATACAAGCGAGTCCGTGTGTTAAAACGCGGCTTATGACCATGGCGATGGGCACTCTTCAGTATCTGCACGGAAGGCAGATGTCCCTCAAATGCAGAGTAGGACTACTGATCAGGGTTTGTGGTGCAGGAGTATGCTGGCCAGGCTTGAACTTGAGCAGATTCGCCTTCATCTGAAGTTTGTCAAGAATATTTGTTCTGGCTGTTACAATGTATGCCTTAATGGTAAAATTTCGTGCTGGTCTCAAAGTGGGGCCGAGAAACAGATGATTCTAAAGTGGTTGGTCCCACGAAAACATGGACGAGCAAACTTCACGGCGAAAGTGTTTGAAGATCAAGGGTTCCTGGTTCATGATGGAACCTGAAGGTCGTCTTGGACGTGGAAAGGTATCAAACCATCATTATCCTTGTGAATGACCTAGAACCAGTCTGAAGCCGTGTCTCGTCAGGAGTTTGTACCGAAGACAACTGACTGAAGTTAACTGAGCTGGTTTTGAGTTGTAATAAATGGTGTCGGTGTTGTTGAAGACTCGTCGCTTTCTCTCTCGACGGAATTGTGTAACTTTCTGGACTCTAGCATGATGTACCTTCTCTTCTATGTTTCAGGAACATAATAAACATCGTAGTAGTCTATGGTAATCTGTACCGTCTGTATCTCTAATGACCTGAAAGTGAAGGATCTGCAGGTCGTACGTGGTACCCGCGAGGGCTTGCAATGGCGAGTGTAACCGTAGTCCGCGAGGGCTTGCTATGGCGAGTGTAACCGTAGTGTGTGGATTTTGGGAAACTTGAAAACAGAAATGTCTATTAGGATAGATGAATGGACCGCTGCAAAATCAGTTTCAGGAGATAGATGTCACATGTTTCCAGAAAGGTTTTGTTTAGGCTGTTTGACCTTCAGATGGAAGGAGAGAAGGAAGAGATATCAATGACCATAAAAATGAGAAAGAAGTGGTACTTTTCGTGTTCGAGTTCAGCCTTTTGACCCTTCGGGTCCCACGGGCTTGATCTATTTACCATTTACCATTTATATTTCAGTCTGTATATCAAAGTTCAGCTAAGCCCTAAATGAACAATTGCATTGTAAAGGATATCTATACGATATCCTGTACATGTGGACATGTGGACTACCGAAGATCAGATATCCACACGCTAGGGATCAGGACGCGTGCTGAGGCCCGCATCTGCCTTTGATGTGTATGAAGAGGCGGACGCCCACCAGACTTGCTACGTTGGACACAAAATGCGTTAATTATGACAGTACTTTGTACCAAAATGTAGAAAATGTTGTCTCTTCTGCTTAATCATACGTAGCTTTGATGGCTAAGTTTTCCTCCAATGGATATATATTCTATGTATATTTCTTCAATCTCCCTGTGAGTGCTTATTATATAAGACGATTTAAGGTTCAGAGGGGAGAATCCCTGAGAAGTACGCCAAACTACGAGGTGATAAATTTCGGCTTCCATGAATTTTATAACACTCGCATGTTTGACAAAGTTAAGCATGAGATAGATGAGTACAGGTCAGAACATACTACGAATCTCAGTTTGTTTCTTCAAAGTGAAGTGATATCGGATTTTCACCCACTATCGGAATTTAACAGAGTGGATCCGATATTAACGCTGAGCAACGTTGATTCAAAGTCGTCAGGTCACTCGACCAGATCGTCGATGTCGAAAAGAAAAGAAAAACAGAATAAATATCTGTGATGGTGTCATACACAGAACTTTGAGGAACTGATGACGTATAACTGGCCGGCAGGCCACTTCAAGAGATCATTGCCTGCAGGGCTGAATATGCCGCAGGCGCTGACATGGTTGAAATAAAGTCAAGGAAGAGTAACAGTGATGAATCTACAAAGGGGGACCATCTGATAATGGTTACAATCCATTGCGGCGTAGTCAGTCTGTCGGCACTCGACGTGTATGATATCTGCGTGAATTCATAACATCTGTCGAAACGAAACTTTGGAATAAGGTACAAGATTTCTTGATGACTCTATGACCAACAGTTTGGAGAGTTTCCGCTTTCAGTATCTTCCAGGTTCAAGGTTTCTTCACGAAGGATGAGATTTTCCGCTAAAACTTTGTCCCTCTTCAGAGTCAGCTGTCTTCTCAGCCCGTCGAAAGGTGACTTTGTGGCTCTGAAATTTAGACCTCCTTCGAAGTCTTCGTAGGGCTCCGAGTCCTCCATATCTTCGTTCTGCTCGCTACCATCAGCTGGAAAGTTGTACCCTTGCAAGGATTGGGGGACAACAAGTTCAAATTCGTAGTTCGCCAGCTGTCAGATTCAAGCAGTTCATAGGAGTCAGCAACTGCGCTAATGAAATATAGAGATAGTTCTGTCAAAATACGACCTGAACACATCAGAGCCCTGAATTCTAGCGACTACATATGAGAAATAAGAATCCGAACATACAAAAGTTCTTCTTTATCTTGGTGTAAAGTCAAATGCACTGCAGCATACGCACCAGGACAGTCGTAGAATTTCCATGTTTCTGTTGATTTAACCAGTCGCGAAAACTGACACCCACGAAATAGGCTTCCACCACAACGAAGCACACTACAAGAAGAGTTACGACGATCTTCTCTGAAACAATCAAAGGTTTTGAATGGGACGATTGCTCGGGATCCTCCGCAACTTTAGGTGCAATCACATTTTCCCCCAAGACTGGTGCACCTGTATGATAGACTTCTCCTTTTTCTACATCAACCGCAGAAGACGAACAATTGTTGACGCTTTTTGATAGGTGCATTTTGCCTTCTGCGACTTGAGCTTCTTCCCCTGAATTTCCTATTTTCTGCGGACAACGAACCAAACCTGAATCAGAAATGTCATTTATCTTTGCTAATTAAGAAGGGTTGCCGTCCATAGCAGTTGAGATATGCTATTGAAAAAAGTACATGGGAAACCTTCACAGTATCTACAGACAGTGTGAGGTTTTTCACGAATTTGCAATTTCCAACAAACAAAGACTTCTGATCACTCACATGAGATCGGCTATGCCTACGGACCCAAGATCCCATACAAGGTGAGACATATCATAAAGCGATCGCAAGTGCGCAACTAAGATTTAAGAAGTTCAGACATCACAAATTGCACGCCATCCACAGGAAGATCTGTGCCATCTCAAATTCTCGGATTTGAGATGTGCGAAAGCGCCAGCGTGTAATTCGTTCATAGCTGGTCCTTGTCATAAGTGGCAGCGTGAAACGACATGGCAATGGTAAATGATCCAGCAATCCAGAGCATGTCAAATGGAGGTGGGAAGAATGGGGGAAGGAGTAGCTGACAGCAGGAGCTGAGATCTTCGTAACAATTTGAAGTATGTGCACCTGAGGCGAAAATGATAAAACATACGCATTCGGGATCTATTGAGTCAAAAAAACATTGTCCGATCCTTGATTTACGCTAAAACTCGGCCGGCAGCTTGTGGGCAGTTGCAGCTGGCATTTGAATCACTGAGCAATGACAGTCTGATAAAGAGTATGAAATGTCCATTCACTCACCTGGTCAGACTTGAAGGACATCGCCCTCATTTTTCACAAACTGCACTAATCCGCGTTGCCAACGACTTGCCCTGACAAGGAAAAATTCCGCTGTTGCAATTTTCTTCCGCATTCACTAATGATCACCGTTACGCGAAATCGATGAACTCCAACCGGGCCCCCAACGGATTCCAAAACTCTGCATCCTTTATGTGCTTCTCTCCTTCTGTTCCTCCAGCATGCATCTCTCCGTCAGCACCTCCGTGGGACTTAATACCAACATCAACGATACCTTCCGAGTTCCGGCCCGTCCATGGGGCGGAACTCGGAACCAGCCACCATTCCTCAATGTTTTATGTCCACGTGTACATATATTCCTATCGCATAAGTCTGTTGGACTTCGGTACTCTAACTGTAGAATGGTACTCCAAGAGGAAGGGTAACTTGTACACAAGTCAAATTACAAAAAACAAGTAGCATCAAATTATATATATATATATAAATAATAATGTAGATCAATTGCTATATAAACAACGTAACATCAATTACATTGTGTTGGGTCATTTACAAACTCTAAACATTTTGATAAAATGTTAAATATATCAAGTCTAACCCAAAGTGTCAAAATATGAAAAATATGGTTAAAAAAAAAACTACAACAAGGGGAACAAATTCTAAAGATCAATCATTAACTAGTGCACTAGAACTATAATTTATGACGTTCTTAATATAACAACTTAAATAAAAAGTACTGGTTGTAATAAAGAATAGATATTCTCTACATCTATGTTAGGAGCTACAACTAACATACAAATACTTTACCTCGTATTAATGTTAATATTAGATTATCGCACTTATTCAATTTCAAGCCCATGAGATGAATTATGTGCCTAGCAACAGAACGGAAGTACGTAGAGATCTTGCAAGTGAGTATTCTTCTTCAATGTAAACAAACATAAGATTCACATGAAATTGATAAAACTGCAATTTGATGACGTGTATGTTCAAAATAATATTGAAAAAGTTTTCATGTATAAGCTCGCGGAGTGCCATGAGTTGTAAGTCCCTAATTGTAATCTGCCACATTACACTTCAAAAACCAAGTCACTATATCCAACCATACCATGAAACTCGTGACATTCCAAGCTTGAAGAGTAAATAAGGCAAGAAGCATCAAATATCTCACCCTTTTGATGTAAGTGATAATCAAGTAGAGATCTTCAGTCTCTAGAGGTAAACATCTAATTTTTGCTAGAAGAATAGCATATGAATTTTGGTTTCTTACATTCAATTTTTCTTGTAGTAAGATCTTTTGCATACTCTCAACATGCTCCCAATCTTTGTTTTTACAACTAGTATCCCACACTTGGATTTCATCTAAGACTATGGCAACACAAAGCTCATGATTAAAAATTTACTAAGACTTCAAGACAATATGTGAACTCTTTTACATCAAATTTTACAATGAATATAGAGCTTTGTAACCATCTTCTATTTTCTTTTGCACGCAAAGTGTCCACTTGTAATTATTAGAAAAATCAATGCTTAGATATTTATAACTCTTCATTACTTTTAATTGTATATCTTTATAAGAGATAGAAGTTGGATCTAAAATGACTATGATGATTTTAGACCTCTACATATTTACATCTATGGAAGAAGTTGTCAATTTGAATTTAGGTTTTGGAGGTTGGATCTTGCAGTAGCAATAACTTTACGTTGGAGTGTCAATTGGCATTGAAATTTGATTGAGTTGTTGAGTTTTATTGATTACACAAAACTTCATCCAAAATGAAGCTGTTTTGAAGAAATTGTGAATTCGAAGCTTTGAGTTGTGTAAAACTTTGCAAAGTTGGATACATGATGGCTTCCAAAGACAAGCTTTTCAATCTTGTGCAAACGATTCTGGAAGAATTGAAAGTGCTCCGCCAAGATTTCAAGATACAGAATGCTAGCTTGATTGCTGCACAATATGAAATTTGAGAAAAAAGAAACACAAAAGTTTTGACAAAGTCATGCTTGATATTTCTGGATTTGTTGAGTACGTTCAAGAAAAGGTTGGTTCTCAAGCTTCTACTTTTGTTACTCTGGATTGCATGAAGTGATTGAAAGTCTAGAGTTGAAAATGAAGTCTTATGCTGCAGCTATCAAGACTTCTCATATCTCTTTCCGTCAAGAGCAAGAGATTGAAAATACAAATCAATTTGCTCGTAGAAAGAATGTGAGGATTTCTAATCTACCTAAATCTGAGAAGAAAGAGATGAAGAGTGTTGTCACCAAGTTTTTGGTTGAAACACTTCATGTTTCTGATTTGAATTTAGCTCAAGCTTTTTGTATTGGAAACAATAGAGCCCAACCTCATGCCATTATTATTAAGTTTTGAATCAAGCTCAACGTGATACTTCTATAGCTAACAAGTTCATTTTCAAGGAACGAAGTATTTGATTAGATTTCTATCTTACATCTCTACAAGTTGAAGCAAGGAATAAGGAGCTTACAAAAGTCAATTGATAAATGCTAAATGGTAAATAAATCAAGACCGTGAGAACCAAAGTTTCAAAAGGCTAAAAAACACAATTCAAACAATCAAACTCCAAATCAAAAAAGCCCCCAAAAGAACCCAATATCTAGTGCCAAGAGCACTAGAACAGAAAATAATAACATCCCTCATAAAACAATCTAAATCATAAGTCTCAAGCTGCAGTAAAGAATACAAATTTTTGACAACAACCTTATGAGCCACTCTAATTCATATATGTTTAGTACAAGTAACAAACACATGTTCATCCTCAACTTTTCTTCCATCACATAGCCTACAAATATGTTGACTACTATCAATGTTCAACCAATGTCCTTCATCAATCTCAAGACTATGAGATACTTTTCTATGCCAAACAGTAATATGATGTAAAGATGTAGAGATCTACGCAAGTAGGTATCTTTGCTCACAATAAACAAACATAGTATTCACATGAAATTGATAAAATTTCATTTTAATGTCTCGTCTTCTCCGAATAATGATGAAAAATTCCTCCTTAATCAGCTCCTGAATGATCATAGGTTGCAAATCCCAATCAAATTCCGTCACATTCCACCTCAAAGACCAAGTCACCACATCTACAAATTATCCCTTGAGACGTGTGGCATGCAAAGCTTCAAGAGTCGAGAAGTCAAGAAGCATCAAGAAATCTCATTCTTCTAACGTGAGTAATAGTCAAGAAGAGAGCTTCAGACTCAAGAGGTAGACAACTTGTTTATGTTAGAAGAATATCATATAAAGTTTGCGTTCTCACACCCAATTGTTCTTGTAAGAAGATCTTTTGCACCCTCTTCAAACACTGCCAAGCTCTCTTCTTACAACCAGTTACTCACACTTGTGTTCCATATGAGATAACATGAAACACTAAGCTCATGAATAAGAATTTTATAAGCCTCCAAGACATAAGATGAGCTCCTCTACATCTATTTAGCAAGGAATAAAGAGATTTGAAACTAGCTTCTACCCTCTTTTGCACACAAAGTGCCCAACTATAATTGTGGGAGAAATTAATGGCTAAATATTTATAATAATACTTGTAATATTTGTAAGAATGATTTTTGACTTGTTTGTGCTTTAATTTGTACCTTCACCAATTTTTTAAAAACTTTTGATATTGTTCCTTGTAAGCTTTTATGTAAAAGACTACAAGACATTGAAATACCGGCTAATCTTCTTGGAGCCGTGGCCAAGTCATACAGTTAAGTTCAAGCTAAAATTCAGCCTCAAGAGATCTTGAGCATCATTGGAGTTATTCAAGGTTGTACTCTCTCTCCTACTCTATTTGGAATTGTCATAGATGATATAGAAAGGTGGTTGAATGATTGTGAGAGTGAAGGAGTCAAACTTGGAGACTTTGTCATCAAAGCTCTTTTGTATGCAAATGATATCATATTACTAGCACGTGATGCAATTAGTTTACAAAAACACCTTGATACTTTGGCTACCTTTTGTAAAATCAGATGAAGATCAATTTGAAAAAGTCAAAAGTCATTCTTGTTGGCACTAAATCAAAGTTTTCTCTCTTTTATAAAGGATTAGAATTGGAACAAGTGAAGAGTTACAAATATTTAGACATCGTTTTTTCTCACAATTATAGTTGGGCACTTTGTGTGCAAAAGAGACTAAAAGCTAGTTACAAAGCTCTATATTCATTGTTAAACCGATGTAAAAGAACGCATCTAGTGTCTTGGAGTCTTAGAAAATTTTTATTCAGGAGCTTAGTGTTGATGGTGGTTTTATATGGAACACAAGTTTGAAGTTATGGATGTAAGAAGTTATGCTAGAAGCGTGTGGAGAGGTGCAAAAGATCTTCTTACAAGAATAATAAAGGGTAAGGAACCAAACTTCTTATGCTATTCTTCTTGAGTAAACAGGTTGTCTACCTCTTGAGGCTAAAGCTTTCTACTTGACCATCACTTATATTTGAAGGATGCGATCTCTTGATGCTTCTCGCCTTACTCTTCAAGCCTTGTGTGACACACGTGCCAAAGGATGATCAGTGGATGTGATAAGTTGATCTTTGAGGTGGATAATGGCGGAACGCGATTGGGACCTGCAACCTATGACACTATGCGAACGTCTAAAGGAGGAGTGTCTGAACATTATTTGGAGCAAGTGCGACACAAAGATGCAATTTTATCAACTTCATGTGAATCCTATGCTTGATTATTGTGAATAGTATTATTATTGCTAGGCATAGAACTCGATCTCATAGGCTTGGAATTGAGGAAGAACGTTAGCTTAATATTGTCTTAATATATGAGCTTGATCTATTACCATAGACCACTCATAGGAATGAATGTTTTTATAGATTATGTGACGGTGGATACATTGAAAATGTTGAGCATGTATTTGTTACTTGTTTAAGTTACAAAAACATTAAGCTTGCTCATAATATAGATGTGAAGAAATTCAATTCTTTATTACAGTTAGTTCCCTTTGATTTAGGTTGTTCTATTAGGTACATTTTTAGTTACCATTCTAGTGCTCTTGGCACTAGCTAGAGATTGGCCTTTGGGGTATTTTTCCTTGTTTATGCTTTTTGCTTAATTCTTGCTTTTTGCCTTGGTTTATTAACATTAACCATTTAACATTTATCATTAGATCCTTTGTCAAGGATTCTTGCTTCTACCTTAAGAATGCTCCTACCTTAGACTTCACCAAGTCTCTGTATATCCTTGTAGGAAGAGAGTCGATTCTTACAGAAATTGTTACTTTTAGTTGAGATCTGCACTGGACCTGAAACTTTGTGGGAGATTGGATTTGAGCAGGACAC